AGTAGAGATCATTGGTGCACTTTAAAACTACTTGGATGGACATTGAGTTGAATGTTTTTGTTGTTACTCTAAAATTTAAGTTCTCATTTTTTTTAAATATCTTCCCTTGTTTTGTTTTAAAAGTTTACTTGTGGACAAGTAAAGATCTAGTTTGGGGGAATTGATCTATAGTGTTTTTAATGGTTTTTAATATACTTTTTTTAATCATATTAGTGTTTTAAGTTTCATTTAGGTGTTTAGATTGCATATTAGGAGCATATATTACATTTGCATTGCATAATTTCATATAACAGGGTTTAAAGTGCACTTTTGGAAGTTTAGAGGTTGATTCGTGAGGGTGTGTCTGCAATTTCCAAAGTTTGGGACTACAAACGTAAATAAACAGAAGTTCAGAGACTATTCTGAAAATAAAAGTGGGGCGAATGTGTGAATAATGAAGACTCCGGGGACCTGTTTTGCAAATACCCAAAAGCCCACCATTGGAGCTCACGAGCTTTGAGCTTTCCGATCCAGAGCTTGACGACGGCGGGACTCGAGCACCAGTGACCACGGTTTGGATCTGAGAGCACGACGCGGCCATAGAGAGGTCTTGACCCGGTGATGACGAAGCTTGAAACGAAGACCACCGCGAGTTGCAGACCATGGCGAAGGATTCCGGTGACGACGGAACAGAGGAAGACGATGGTGGAGCACGAGCTCGGTTTTGGAGATGAATCGATGGTCGGGTGAATCTCCGGGATGGTAAGATTGAAGAGTTTCTGATGGAACTTATCCAAGACAAAGATGAAGACCGCGGCTAACCACCGCAGAATGAAGCCGGTCGCGGCCAAGCTACGACGAATCCATTCTCTTAGCCACAGGGACCCTTCGCGGACGAGTGATGGTCGCGGCAATGTATGCCTAAACAACCCAAGAGATTTCGCAAGCTTTGGTCGCGGATGCGTAAGCCGCGGTGAGAACGTGAAGATCGCAGGCACACGACGCGAGGGAGAGCTTGGCTGCGGCAGTTCAGATCTTTTACAAAGTCAAGATATTGATCGGTTTATTCCGGTTTGACCCGGTTTAATTCAATTGAACCAGGACAAATTTAGACTTCCTATATATAGTTTTAGACCCCAAAAACTCTAAAGTATCTCATTTTCTCTCAAAAACTTGTTTCTAAATGTAAAAGCTTGAATCTTTATATCATTTTAAGGAAGTACTTCATCTTATATCTTGTTTCTCATTCTCATTAACATGATTAGCCTTGATTCCATCATGGATTTAAGGTTTCTCATGGAGATTAAAGAGTATACACTTTTAGAATTCATGGGTTAGGTAGATCTAGGGTGATTAAGTGTAGATCTAAGTGTTTCCTTGCTAGTTGAGTGTGTTTAATGCTATTCTAGACTGGATCACTCTAGGATTGAACCTTAGTCATTTTCTGCCCACAAGGTGTATGTTTAAATGTCTGAACCAACTCTCCTTAGCTTTAAGACTACCTAACCAATGACCATTTGTATCTAGGGATTCTTAGATAGTTATTAAATTTATTCTTAATGATTGCTTGAATTAATTGAACCAATGACCATTTGTGTTTGATTAATGAAAGCAAATGAGCATTTGTCTATACCTAGAATTTGCTTAGTTAAGTTGTTTAGACTTAAGGTACATTTTGATTGAAACTTTAATTGCTTTAGATCAATTGCCCTAATCCCATGGATTCTACCTTATCATTTGATTGAAAGTGTTCTTGCATTTATTTCTTGATTGGATTTGAGATCATCTTTGTTAATAATTTTAGGATCATAGCTTGTTACAAATCATCCATCTCTCTTATTTGCTTAGATTAGGAAAGTTTGTGTATTCTTAGTGTTTAGATCACTAGTTCTCTGTGGTTCGACAATCTTAAATACTACATTGATTTGCTCTGAGGACTTAAAAACCCTTATCAACGCTCTAAAACCTCGGTTCTCATTGAAATGAGCCCCGTTGTATCTTTCGATCCCGTGCGGACCATTACACAAGATACTAAATGCTTAAGAAAACGATAATACTTAAGGTTTTTAAGCCAAGAGAAAGGTAACTCAAATGGAGAGGAGTTTTGATGGTAAAATTCTCTCATGCAAGGAGGAGGACATAGGGAAAAGATCTCTCATGGCCCTGAACAGGAGGAGAATTGACTAGTCTTTTATGAATACAAATAAACTAAAGGGCTGCAATCTTCAAGCTTTGGTAAACTCCACTTTAGAATTAATCTTGCGATGACATTTGCACGTGTTGAAGGTACTGAATGATGATGGGTTTGGCTTGAACTTTGTGGGTTAACACCAACAACTGCACCAAGGAGATAACTATGTAGTTCAAATCTCGATTCGCAAGGCTTGGTTGATGGAACTTCCATATCTGAGTACATACTTGTTTTTGACCATGAAGAGCACAAGAAAGCTGAGTCTACGAGATATAATGGATTTTGGGCACATACGAAAGTGACAGGTAAACACCAATGTGTTAAATCCAATAATGAATAGCTGTTAGCCCTTATAACAACATCCTGAGATATGAACTTGGCGAGATTTGCTGAGTAACCAGAAATTGAGTTCAAACAGAATCTTCGGACTCTAACATTACCGTGTCGGATCCAGAGAGTTGTCATGGAACCCATAAAGACTCGCTGGTCATCAAAATCTAACAAGCTGGGCATGAGAGAGAAAATACCAGGAGAGACAAAAGAACACAAAAGCTGAGAGAGACGACGACGCCGGCAATCTACGGAGCTGCCGGCATCGGCAACCATGGTCGGAGTGGGTGTCTCGATTTGAGCGCCTAGGAGAGAAATTCAAGTTTTTTTTTTGCCTGGACAAGCTTGGTTTTCTTATTAATTCTTCTTCCAGTCACAATTTATTGTATCTTCTTGAAAAATGACTTCATCTTTTGCCTCAATTGTTAAAGCCTTTGTATGCCTCTCAACTTTTAATTCTCACTACCTTAGTCAAACTGCTCAGTTTATGGTTGCTTTCCGCCTCCGCTTCTAAGATTCCCGGAACATTAAAATAACGAATTTATGAGAATTAGAGAAGATTGAGTAGAACCCTTGGCATTTAACAAGACTGCATATTTGTTGCTGATATATATATATATGACTTTTTAGAACTTCATTAAATAATACAAAAAACTTCACACGCCATATTAATTCAGGATATATAAACTCACACGCCATATAAGTTCATGTTATATGTCAAACATCAAAAGATATAATAAATTATAGAATACATCAACTATGTTTCTGATTCCGTGCTTGCGCGGGAGCCTTGTTCTAAAAGCCGGCCGAGTAGCTGATTAATCGGCCGATTAAACGTAACTCGTGTGGCTACCGTAGCGATTTGGATCACTTCGGTTGAGTTATACGTTGACCCGAATAATGAACGTAGTCTACGTATAAATTAAAACACGTCCGCGTAATTGAATAAAACCGCTTGGCCCAAAATCATGATTTCTTCGTTTAATTCTTATTTGGTGCAAAATAAATTTCCCTTTACCCAGCCAAAAGCCCAACACAATTGCTAATGTTATTTTTCCTGTGATTTGATTCTTTCTGTTTTAAGTTTTAATCTATTTCCCACCAAGTTTTAATCTTGATTCTTCTTGTTTTGTCCTACTGTGATTTGTATAGAGAAATGTTGATGTTATCAGTATATAGAAACTGCAAGCATTCATTTTTGTAAGCATGCAACGTTGTATAAATTTTATGGTCTGTTGTCAAGTTGATTCATGTGGCATGTCTCAATAAAAACATTACATTTAACTAGTTAAAATTTGTTAGTTTTGTTTTGGACTGTAATTTTGTATTTGTGATCTAATTGGTGTATATTTATAAATCTATGCATTTTTGTATTAATAATGTCTCTTTTAAAAATATGTATTATACAAAATTTTTTTACTATATGTCTAAAATGTGATATAATACATATAAATGTATAAAAAATTCCTCCCCGCGTACTCCCCGATTTTTTTTCCGCTTTTTCAATAAATCGCTAGGCCCGTATGTGCCGCACGCGTAGCGCCTAGCGAGTTTCCGAACAAGGCGCGGGAGCTATAATCTAGTTAATAATATATTACAGTTATTATTTTTAGTGTACACAACAAATTTTTTTCAAAAAAAAAAATCTTTCTGAAATGTTATTTTATATTTTTAAGAACTTTTTTTTGTTTTATATGTATATGTGTATATATTTGAACGGTTAAAATGTATAGCGATTATTTAGATTAAAGTTCTTATAATATATTTTTGATATTGGGTAGTGAACATAAATTAGAGAAACAACAACTGTTACCACTTGAAAACAATAAGTTTACGGGTGATATCGACAAAACTAATTAAATCCTTGCTCATTAAATCTTAACAGATGTTTTGTTTGTTAGTAAAATAAATTCATTTAAAAGAAATTCGTTGTCAAATAGACAAATACTATATTTTAGTAGAATAAAACAATAATTTAAAATATCTGATAAAGAAAACAAACCAAACACATTTCATCAAACATTCTTACTAACCTGCCTATATATATCAGCAAGTATCTTTCTAGATCTTCTCAGCTCAAATATCAGGAAACCGGTCCGGTGTTTCCTTTCGCCCTCGTCTCTTTGCTATTAGCTGTGTTCTGCCGTATGTCTTTCTCATCTTGATTCATCACATTACCAGATCATGACAAGTGATCTATAACAGATCAGATTCTTCTCCCTCCTCGAATTAGCCGAGAGACTGATGATTTTTTTTTTTGCATGATATTTCATTTTTTTCTAGAAAATAAAGAGTTTTAATAAGAAAAACACGGTACGTTACATGCAATTATGCATCCTTTTTTGGTAAAAGTTTTTTGCTTTCTGCCTTTTCTCCTCCTCAATAAGAGTGAAAACTGAAAAGTAGCCATTAGTAATCTTTTTTGCGATGTGATTTTTCCTTTGTTTATAATTTCGTTTTAAAGGTTCGTAAAACCATAAACAATTTTTTTGAAACAGAAATGGAGTTACAGAACGAGGACAGGAACAAAGAAGAAGAGAAAAAGACGAAGAAGAAGTGGCAGAAGAGTTACTTCGATGTTCTGGGAATCTGCTGTACATCGGAAGTTCCTCTGATCGAGAATATTCTCAAGTCTCTCGATGGCATAAAGGAATATTCCGTCATCGTTCCGTCGAGAACCGTAATCGTTGTCCATGACAGCCTCCTCATCTCTCCGTCCCAAATTGGTAACGCATCAAATAATCAGTTTTTATTTTTGGTTATAATAAAAATATGATTAAAAAAGACAAAGTAATCACTTAACACGAAATAATTCATTCATTTTCTGTTTCTAGAGTTTGTTTTGCGTGAGTGGTTTGATACGCAAACGCCACTTTTTGGTCACTACAATCTTTTATGTGATCCAACAAGTCACTTCTAATGAAATTCAACAATTCTCTTAAAAAAAAGAAAATAGAAATCAACAAATCTACCATAAAAGATTATTTACCTTTGAAAATATTTATCAAACATTTTAGCAAAAAAAAAAAGGATTTTTATTAAACATTTTCGAAGCGTTTACTAATTCAATTAAAGTTTTAGAAAAACTGATTATCCTTAAAAGTAGGAAAATCAGATTTTAGGTGACTTTTACCAATTCTGATGTTAAACCAAAAACCCGATAATTTGGGTTTCTCCTCAAAAACCTCTTTCATTTTAGAACCTGAAACTAAAGAAATCAAAATTCAAAAATTTTAAAATTTCATTAATTAATAAGCATTTAGGTGGAGAAGCTTGTGCTTTTTTTATATATATATATATATGTTTTTCTGTTTACATTTTTTTCCAACAAAATACGTTCAGTTGATATAACCAGCGATTGTGAATTTCGTTCGTATAATACTAATTTTCAGAATGGTATTTAAAATTTTAAAAATTTAATTGAAATTTTTACAATTTTCTGCAGAGCTTTTGTGTCTATCATATATAACTCGCATATACGTTACCATGTCACGTGTATAACATAAATTAATATATCTAACGTACATCATAAGCGGATTTGATTTTCCAAAAACATGCAGATTTTTTTTTTTACTTTTAGAAAAGCCTGTCGAGATATTTGCCAAATTTTTCTAATACAATTATTTTTATTGGTAGTGGATCATACTCGTTACGTAACTATATTTAATCATTTTTTGTTTACAGAAAACAATAATTTATGTTAGACTTTAAAATAATTTGTTACCCTCACGAAAATTATTAATTTCTGAAATAGTTTTTCTCACATATTGGTTGTTTAATGCTTTTGTTTCAAACGGAATTGTGGTGCAGCTAAAGCCTTGAACCAAGCTAGGTTAGAAGCAAACGTGAAAGTAGACGGAAAAACCAACTTCAAGAATAAACGGCCAAGCCCTTTCGCCGTGGTTTCCGGCATACTCCTCCTCCTCTCCTTCTTGAAGTATAAATACCCGCCTCTTCGTTGGCTCGCTGTCGCAGCAGTAGCCGCTGGTATTTATCCGATTCTTGCAAAAGCCGTTGCATCGATAAGAAGGATTAGGGTCGACATCAACATCCTAGTCATTATAACCGGTAACACTATATTTTCATATTATTTTCCATTATAACACTATTTACAAGCTTCTCCACCTAAATGCTTATTAATTAATGTGTTACCGTATAATCGAGATATGTAGTACCGTAGTATTGGTTTTCTTAAGGAAATAACTTAGCAAATTCTGGTCATACTAAAAGTATTAAGGCTCTTTTAATAGACCTATAATTTTCTTAAAACATGTGAGTCTTTCACTCTGCATTTAGCCCTTTATGGTACTTTAAAAAAAGCTTATGTATATACTGCTTTCCCACAAACCCAGCACTTCATGAAACCTTTTAGAAAAGTTTTCCTTTATTTTTCCTTAATACTTTAATTAGTATGATACATATGGGAAATACCAATATCAAAAACATGTACACATATATGCCTAACTTTACTTTATAGAACTCCAATATTAGAAACGTAGCACTTTGATATTTTTGCTGTATAGTAATAGGATATAGAAAGATATCAAGATGTTCTTTGGGTATAGGTGAAGCGAACATGTGATAAACTTGGAAAGTTGGTAGGAAAGATAATGCAGAAATTAACTATTATACGTTGTCTTTGGGTATATTATACGTTGTCTTTCTACATGAAAAGAAAAATTTACGTTTTTAACTAAAAGCATTTTTAGATCTAACAAAAAAAAGTAAAGGATGGTTATTCAAAAAAATATTTTGCAAAATTTAACTGCATACTTTAACAAATATTTTTTCATTTTCAAAAACTAATTGAAAAAAAAAAATGAATGTAGTTTAAAATAGTATTTTATTTACATAACTTCAAAATTGTATTTAAAACGATCGAGACAAAATTGTTTTAATGATCGATTTTCTTAGAGTTGTCTGGGTTCTTTGGGCACAATGAATTACTTTTGGTTTACTTTCTACAAAAGTAAAGGATTGAGTTTGTTTTTTTTTTTTTTTTTTTTTTTTTTGA